AAATGTCATTTCGATAAAATTTGTTTAGGTCTTCTTACCTTCCGTCAGAAATTTTGTTGTTATTGAATGTAGTAATCAAAAGAAGAAAAGGTAACAAAAGCAAAATGGTCGAAGGTTATTTCAACAGAACTTCCCTCCCCTCTGAAGTACAATACAATAAATTTAGATTTTTCGGAAAAATTATGGATAGACTTCAATTTGCGTATTTTATTTTTTATAAGTGCTATCTACATGTTTGTTTTGAGTGAGTAATTCGCCAAAATCAGCCTTAACAAGTATTAGCCCCACCCACCCGCCCTGTCTTTTCTTAGAGGGCATCTCATTTGCCAGAATCAGTCTTATCGTAGCAAGTACTAGCCCCGCCCACCCGCCCTCTATTTTCTTGGAAGGTATGTCATTTGCCAAAATCAGTGTTATCTTAGCAAGTACTATCCCCCCCCCCCCCACCCTCCCCTTTTCTCATTCTTACGACTAATCTTATTTTTGTTCAGTTAAGATTATTTCATTCAGATCGGATAAAATTAATCACTGAAAAGGAGACAGGGTGGGTGGGCGGGGCTAATTATGTCGTGTGGAGTGGGAGGGGAAGCTAATAATAGAATCTAGGATGTGAAAAAACTAAAAAAAAGTGCCAATCGTATTTTTTTTTTTTGTTATACTATTTGCTATAAAACTAATTTGTTTTTCTTCAAAATTAAGTTTTATTTTGAAATTAATGCCATGAAAAATTCGACCAACTTAATCCGAAAAAAATATAAATTGACTAAAAATCACAAAGGAAGGCAACTTTTTCTTAGAGGGTAAATCAGTTGCCAAAATCAGCCTTATCAGAATTATTTTCAAAAAAAGAAGCAGAAATGTCATTTCAATAAAATTTGTTTAGGTTTTCTTAGCTTCCGTGAGAAATTTTATTGTTATTGAATGCACTAATCCAAAGAAGAAAGGATAATAAAAACAATATGGTTGAAGGTTATTTCGACAAAACTTCCCTCCCTTCTGAAGACAATACAATAAATCCAGACTTTTTGGAAAAATTATAAGACTTGAATTTGAAAATTTTAGTTTTTTTAAGAGCTGTCTCACGTTTGTTTTAAGTGAGTCATTTGCCAAAATCAGTCTTATCGTAGCAAGTACTAGCCCCGCCCACCCGCCCTCTATTTTCTTGGAAAGTATGTCATCTGCCATAATCAGTCTTATCATAGCAAGTACTACCCCACCCACTCTCCCTTTTCTCATTCTAACGACAATTTTTATTTCCGTTCAGTTAAGATCATTGATTTAATTCAGATCGAATAAAATCAATCAGTGAAAAGGAGACAGGGTGGGTGGGCGGTACTAATTAAGTCCTTCTGTGGAGTGGGAGTGGAAACTAATAATAGAATCTAGGATGTGAAAAAAGTAAAAAAAGCGTCAATCATATTTTGTTTGTTATACTATTTGCTATAAAATTAATTTCTTTTTCTTCAAAATCAAGTTTTATTTTGAAATTAATCCCAATGAAAAATTCTATCAACCTAATCCAAAAAAAAAATATATATAAATTAACTAAAAATCACAAAGGAAGGTAACCTTTTCTTATAGGCTATATCAATTGCCAAAGTCACTTTTATCAGAATTATTTTGCAAAAAAAAGCAGAAATGTCATTTCGATAAAATTTGTTTAGGATTTCTTAGCTTTCTTGAGAAATTTTATTGTTATTGAATGTCCTAATCAAAAGAAGAAAAGATAATGAAAACAAAATGGTCAAAGGTTATTTCGACATAACTTCCTTTCCCTCTGAAGTACAATACAATAAATCCAGATTTTTTGGAAAAATTATAAAACTTGAATTTGGGAATTTTATTTTTTATAACTGCTACCTACACGTTTGTTTAAAGCGAGTCATTTGCGAAGATCAGTTTTATCTTAGCAAGTACTAGCCCCACCCACCCTCCCTTTTCTCATTCTAACGACAATTTTTATTTCCGTTCAGTTAAGATCATTGATTTAATTCAGATCGAATAAAATCAATCAGTGAAAAGGAGACAGGGTGGGTGGGCGGGGCTAATTATGTCCTTCTGTGGAGTGGGAGTGGAAACTAATAATAGAATCTAGGATGTAAAAAAAAATAAAAATGCGCCAATTATAAGTTTTTTTGTTATACTATTTGCTATAAAATTAATTTCTTTTTCTTCAAAATCAAGTTTTATTTTGAAATTAATACCAATGAAAAATTCTATCAACCTAATCAAAAAAAATATATATATAAATTAACTAAAAATCATAAAGGAAGGTAACCTTTTCTTATAGGCTATATCAATTGCCAAAGTCACTTTTATCAGAATTATTTTGCAAAAAAAAGCAGAAATGTCATTTCGATAAAATTTGTTTAGGATTTCTTAGCTTTCGTGAGAAATTTTATTGTTATTGAATGTCCTAATCAAAAGAAGAAAAGATACTGAAAACAAAATGGTCAAAGGTTATTTCGACATAACTTCCTTTCCCTCTGAAGTACAATACAATAAATCCAGAATTTTTGGAAAAATTATAAAACTTGAATTTGGGAATTTTATTTTTTATAACTGCTACCTACACGTTTGTTTCAAGCGAGTCATTTGCCAAGATCAATTTTATCTTAGCAAGTACTAGCCCCACCAGCCCCCCTCTTCTCATTCTAACGAGTAATTTTATTTCCGTTCAATATAAGATCAATCATTTCATTCATATCGGATAAAATCAATCACTGAAAATGAGGCAGGGTGGGTGGGCGGGGCTTTATGTCCTTCTGTGGACTGGGAGTGAAGACTAATAATAGAATCGAAGATGTGAAAAACATGCGTCAATTTCTTTTGTTAGTTTTGTTTTTGTTTATAATTTATAGTCTTACGAAAAAAAAATAAAAGTTGGATTTCAGTCATCATCGTTACTATGAAATCAGAAAGTAAGCCCGAGGTATTCACGCATGAGGTGCGTGCAGTGTTGCCAATTATACTTTTATAAAATTACGTTTTTTTTTTCATGATTTACATCATAAGGGATTTATTTTTATTTTTTTGGGACTGCCGGAACCCCCGTACACATGGGCGCCCATAGAAACCTTTCTCAGGGGGGGCCACCCTGAAATTTTTGTAATATACTCTGTTCTTGTATATATAAATAATATAATGATAGAAATCTTTACTATTATAAATATATATTTTAATCATCAAGTACGTTAATCAAATCTATCGCAAATAACCCTACAACATCATTATTCTTATTATTAGCAAAACAGTGTAAAATATTAAAATTAAAAAGTTATAAAAATATAAAATTCATCAAAAACAAATTGCTAATCCCTTTTTTCTTGGCCAAAATCGTCAGTTACTCTACCAACAGATATTTCTTCGGCATTAACTCTCTCTCTGAAATACTACTCTCAAGGTTTTTTATTTTTACAAAATCCTGCCAATTTTGGATTTCGTCCGATAAAAATTGTCAGTGGTGTAAAATTCGCCCAACCCTTTAAGGCAACTTGGTTTTAAGTTATGTATATTTTTTGGATGTAAAGAAAATAATGAGCATGATGACACTTTTGTTTCGGAAAATCGTGTCGTTAAGGAAAGAATGAAATGATCCAGGTATGGAATAAAAGTGTCAAAATAATTTTCTATGCTATATGTGTTGTAGTTCGCACGCCCACTCGTGAAACAGTTCTGGAGCAACCGAAATTTCCACTCGAAGTCGATGGCTACTCTGAAAAACCGCCATCAGTAGTAATAAATAACACCACTTATTTTATACTTCTTATTAGCTGAAGTATCATCATCAGTATTTGTAATTTTTTTCTTGAAGAAATTTCAGATATCCATATTTCTCTGTTTTTAAATAAATTATTAAATTTAAAATTTAATCAAGAGTACTTACGCTTGAATTTTGAAATAAATAAATAATAAAAATTATAGTCAACAAAACGCCGGTTTAACAACTGTTCGTCTTTACATGTCACTTCACCACAGATAAAAAGTGAAAACGGAATGAATTTTTGGACGTAAACGTTAGCAATAAAATATTTGCTCTTGTAATAACTGTAAAAAGCAAATAACGAAACAACCCATAATTCAGTACCGGTTAAAAAGGATAGATTTATGATGTTTCCAGGCAAATCTGGGCCGAACAGAGGGTTTCAAAACCAAATGGTCTAAGTTTGTCACATTTCTGTGTTTGTGTGGCAATAAAACTGAAAGTGTAGGGCATGTACCTACTCTTATAAATGTGCTAAAGTTTAATTTTGACAAATAAAAAGGAAATTGACGCAGAATCTCAGGGGGGGCCATGGCCCCCCCTGCCCCCCCCTATGGGCGCCCATGCCCGTACATAACGTACTGAAGAGTTAATCCGCCATTTTCCAGACACCCCGCATATCCAAAATTTCACAGCAATCAGTCCAGTAGTTTCGGAGGTTATCTGTGTAATAAAAATGCAGACAGAAACGGCAGACATCTAATTCTTCATAGTTCAAAGATCACGAAAGGTCGAGAAAACATAGAAGTGGGACTCGATTACAATACTTCCTTAACTTTCGCTTGGGAAGTAAAAAGAGAAAGATACACTTTTATTTGAAAGAGTATTTCAATTTTGACAAAATTTTATAACTTCTCTCTGTATTAAATTAAGGCCGCAACACAAGTTCACGTTATATCTGGAAACCAGTTACCAATATTTTTACAAAGAAACTTCAAATTTGTTTAAAAATATTGAAACTGAAGTTATGTTCGCTTATAACGGAACGTGATCGTACTTATTTACGAAAGCGTTAGTTTAGGAGGTCCAGTAAAATATAGATAAAAGTTTAATATGTATGACATCCAGTTTGGTGTGTTTCATTGTAATTTGTAACCGGTCGTTGCGTCTGCGCGCTCTTCGCAGCCCCTCATCCCGTCGGTGTCTGTAACACCTCCGCTCCGTCCGAACGTGGCTTAATCCCAGCCCACGACGGCGGTCCTCGCCGGCGTCCTGTGAAGCTTTTCTGTGATTTCAGGCAGTCGAGCGATAAGGCATCGTCCTCAGTGCACGACGTGGCAACGCAGCGAGGGAATGTCAGACGTTGTCAGGCCAGGCTAGGGGAAACATCGCGATCGAGGCCACACCAGTGCCGCCACCGCCGGCGATCTCGCGCACTAACGCCACTACAGTACGCCAGTTCGTGAACAGCCATGGCCTCCGCGAAAGACACGGCGACGTTCTTCACGCACGGCACTCACACGCAGTACGAACAGGTCCTCAAGCTCTACCCCACGGCCCTCAAGCTCAAGGCGGAACGCAGGGCCAAGAAGCCCGAGGAGCTCGTTAAATTGGACAATTGGTAAGTGAAGTGTCCGAGCCGAATGCTCTGCGGTGTGTCATTGAACTCGGCTAATGCTCTGCTCCGAGTGGCTCTCACCCCCGCGATATCTCCTCGGACGGTCGTTAAAATCACGCTCGTCACGTGGTTATCGATGACAAGTGCTGGGTGTACGGAAAAACGCCGCGTTCGTACGTGGGAGCGAGCCTTTAAATGTCGGCGTCATGGCGCTCGGCGGCGCTTGGCGGACGTGCACGCCCGGGGGCGGCATGAACCGGGCTGCGCCCCAGGAGGCCGGCCGCCGCCGCCACGGGCCCCCACGGGGCCCGCCGCGGCCCAAAACCCCCGAACACGGAGCTCCGGCCGCTTTCAAAATGGTGCCTGTTCAAACAAAGCGATCGACGTGGGCTCTGACTAGGCAATATTTCCACACGGTTTTCGGAAAAACCGAAGGAAAGCGGAAAAGCGTTTTCGAGGCTCGCACTAGACCCGTTGTTTGTTTATCGCGCGGTTTAAATTGATTGATGGCCAACTTGTGCATTTTTCATGGAGTGGGGGATTAAGAGCTTTGCTTTATTTCGACTTGGTGGAGATGTGCTTCGGAGGAGCTGGGCGAAAGAAGGTGCTTCAGGTGGTCGGGGTGGCGGATACATCGATTTTAAATTACTTGGAACACTTCGCCATGATGGAAAGTTACCGGGCGATTTTGGCGAGTTTGGCGTGGAATTTGGGGAAAAAGACGCCGGGTTTTGGGGTAAAGAGGGTCGGGGGCGGCAACTACATGTTGAGCGGTATTTTGGGGGTGTTTTTATTGGGGTCACCGCAACAGCGGAAATGTTTTATTGTTTTCCGACGAGAGGCGAGGTGGTGTCGTAAATACCGTTACTGTGTGTCTTCACATTTTACTTCAGGATTTCAAAACTGGACGGCATGTAAATTCACCCATTTACTTATCTTATCATATAAATTATCTATAATTTGGTGGTTGTAATTTAAATTAATTTCAGAAGATAATCGAGATGGTTGTAATATTCATATTTCCAGTACGAAAGCTATTTTAGCATAATTTAATGTGAAGTTAGACTTGAAAATAAAGCCAAGACTTGTGAAAAATGCGTAAACATGATCGCGAACTAATTCGCTTCCACTAACTCGCCGCCTAAAATATTTACCTAAATAATACAAAAAAGCGTCGCGCGCTTCCTTCGCTTCCAGTTACTAGCTGCGCTCGCCGTATTCCTGGATTTCCGTATAATTCTATATTCTGACGCGTCACGAGCTTCGCTCTCTCAGTAAGCGCCACGTTTCTAATTTAAGCGATCGAAAAATGATTTGGATTAAATCGCTTTTGCTTAACTCGCTCCTAGTAGCTCGTTACGCTTGATACGTTTCAATTTCATTTTTGTGCATTAATGCAGTGGCGAGCTTTGAACAGCACTTGTTACGCTTTTTTCTATATTTACAGTCACGAACTGTGAGGCAATTGCTATGTTTGACAAGCTACAAATGAAACAGCGTTTGAATAGTGGTATAAATGTGATATTTTCATACGTTTTAAATGTTCTATACACTTTTTTTCTATTCTATTAAAAATCCTCAATGTTTAACATTGGCAGGAAGTCACAGTCATTTTGAATCGGATAAATGTACACAATGGTAATGTATTTCGTTGCGAAACGCGTGCTAGTTGATGGAAAAATAATAAAAAAATGCGATAGTCGAGTTTTTCTTGTGGTTATTTTTTTAATGAGCCCAAGGAGAACACTGTTGAACATTAACAACGTTCTTAATTATTTAGAGTGGTGACAATTTAACAATTACCTTAAGTAACGTGATGACTTATGCTGTATCGCGGGATAGTGTTAGCTTGAATTTACAAGTTTAAAATTGGGAGTTTGGTGTTTTCAATTAAATTGTCTAATCATTAATATCAAACGATTTAGTCGCTAACGTCGGACTTACTTTCTGTTCGAATGATAATCTATGTGATCGACGCACGGATTTAGTTTCAACAAGATGGTGCCTCGCCTTATTACGTTGTTCCTGTGTGTCGTTATTTGGATAATATTTTACCGATTTAATACCGTTGCGATTTCTTTAGAAGGGTTACTCGAGTCAAAAGTGTATCGTCAAAGCGGACTCGGCATATTGATGATTTAAAAATGATAATGAGGGGATTAGCAGCAAGGGGTTTGTGTTTGTTCGTGTAAAGTCGTCGTTTCTAGCACGTTGTGTAAGTTAATTAATTGAATGATATTTATTACAGAAATTACAGTCGACTTTTGTATTAATTACTTTTAAAAATTTCATTTGCAAGTAGCGACATATTAATTTAAATTTAAAATCAAAGAGTCTTATTAGTTCTGTAAAACTTAAGTGGGATTTATAAACTTGCTGTGGACGTTGAATTTCCCGTTAGAGCCGAAAATTGCATTTATAAACTCCCTTGACAAGTTGCCATTGATAGCAAATTTGACGTTCTTTTGTCGTATTTAAAGGGGTTATAGGGGAAAAGTGGAGGATTTAAATTTACAATTTTAGACATGTTTTATGTTTCTTGTTGTCGAAATACGTCTACACATATTAAGAAAAAAAAAGGCAAAATATAAGCCCCGCCCACCCGCCCTGTCTCAATTGTAATGATATTTTTTATTCGCCTTAAACCAAGAGGGCAGAGCTTAATTGCAAAATACTTGTTTCTTTACAAGGAATTAAAAACATGTTTTTGAGTATCGTGTTGTCCAAAGAATATTAAGAAAAAAAGCCGAATTTTATGGCAAAATCCTTATTATTTTTCTACCAGAAATTACCATGTAAGACATCTTTTTGAGTATCGTGGTATTCAAAGAATACTATGTAGGTTAAGAAAAAATTAAAACCAAAGATTAAGCCCCACTCATACCTGCCCTGATCTAAATAGTAATGTCTAATGAAGTTTTTATTCGTCGGTAGACCTAGGGGCGAAGCCTAATTTGCAAAATCCATAGTTCTTTTCCTTACCTTTTTCCCTTTTGTTTTAATATGTGTAGACTTCTTTTCACAACATCAAACTTAAAGCATGTTTAAAATGGAAAGTTTCTGCTCCGCTCATAATTACAAAATCCATAGTTCCTTACAAAAATTTACCATTTTAAACAACGCGTTTCAAGTTGATAAGCATAAAAAGAATCATCACAATTGAGATTAGGTGGGTGGGGGGGGTTTATATTTTGCCTTTTTTTCTTAATACACACAGTATTCTTTGAACAACACGATACTCAAAAACATGTAAGTCCTTGCAAAGAAATAAGTATTTTGCAGTTGAGCTCCGCTCCTTTGATTCACGACGAATAAAAAAAATCAGCACAATTGAGATAGGGTGGGTGGGCGGGCTTACTTTTTGCCCGTTTGTTTTAATATGTGTAGATTTCTTTTCACAACATGAAACTTAAAACATGTTTAAAATGGAAAATTTCTGCTGCGCCCCAATTGCAAAATCAATATTTCCGGACAAAAATGTACCATTTTAGTCATTTTTTAAGTTTATTGTTGTGGAAAGATGGCTATGTATATTAAGGAAAAAAAAGGCAAAATATAAGCCCCGCCCGCCCGCCCTATATCAATTCTAATGATTTTTTTTGTAAAATCCTTATTTTTCTACGAGAAATTAAAAACATGTTTTTGTGGATCGTGTTGTTGAAAAATACTACGTATCTAAACAAAATAAAAAAGCTAAAGATTAGGCCCCACCCACACCCACCTCGATCTCAGTTCACAATTGTGATTGGTTGTTTCATTCGTTGTCAGATCGAGGGGCGGAGCTAATTGCAAGATCCATATTTGTCTAGAAGACTTTACCATTTTAAACATGTTTAAAGTTTCTAGTTCTGAAAAGACGAACTACGTATATTAGGAAAAAAGGCAATATATAAAGCCCCGCCCACCCGCCCTGTCTCAACTGTGATGATTTATTTTAATCGTCGAGAGCCAAAGAAGCGGAATTTTATTGCAAAATCGTTATTATTTCTCTACAAAAAATTATCATGTAAGACATCTTTTTGAGTATCGTGTTATTCAAAGAATACTATGTAGATTAAGAAAAAATTAAAACCAAAGATTAAGCCCCACTCATACCTACCTTGATCAAAACAGTAATGTCTAATGAAGTTTTCATTCGTCGGTAGACCTAGGGGCGAAGCCTAATTGTAAAATCCATATTTTCTCACAAAAATTTACCATTTTAAACGCGTTTTAAGTTTGTAAGAAAAAAAATCATAATAATTGAGATGGGGTGGGTGGGCGGGGTTTATCTTTTGCCCTTTTTTTTCTTGATATGCACAGTATTCTTTGAACAACACGATACTCAAAAACATGTAATTCCTTGCAAAGAAATAAGTATTTTGCAGTTAACCTCCGCCCTCTTGGTTCACGACGAATAAAAAAAATCATCGCAATTGAGACAAAGCGGGTGAGTGGGCTTATCTTTTGCCCTTTTGTTTTAATATGCGTAGACTTCTTTTCACAACATGAAACTTAAAACATATTTAAAATGAAAAGTTTCTGCTCCGCCCATAATTGCAAAATCCATAGTTCCTTACAAGAATTTACCATTTTAAACCCGTTTTAAGTTTATAAGAATAAAAAGAATCATCACAATTGAGGGGGGGGTGGGTGGGCGGGGTTTATATTTCGCCTTTTTTTCTGAATATACACAGTATTCTTTGAACAACAAGATACTCAAAAACATGTAATTCCTTGCAAAGAAATAAGAATTTTGCAGTTAAGCTCTGCCCCCTTGGTTAACGACGAATAAAACAAATCATCACAATTGAGATAGGGCGGGTGGGCGGGCTTGCGTTTTGCCCTTTTGTTTTAATACGTGTAGAATCCATATTTCCCTACAGAAATGTACCACTTTAATCACGTTTTAAGTCTCTTCTTGTTGAAAGATGGCTATGTATATTAAGAAAAAAAAAGGCAAAATATAAGCCCCGCCCACGCGCCCTCTCCCAATTGTGATGATTTATTTTAATCGTCGAGAG